CAAATGGTACAATTGATTACAAAGGATATCAAATAAAACTCAGCAATATCAGAAATACATTTAAAAGATCAAGGAAATTCGAAATAAGCTTCAACTTGAGAAGTTTCACGGGTTTTCAACATAACCATCCACGTTGGTTCAATGTAGAAAACATGTTTTAAAGAAATCGACCAAAATGGCGCGTGTTTCGTATTTATAAGGTGGCCGTATGAAGAAAAATCTGTCGACGAAATGTGTAAAGGCATACTAGTCCGACATGGCATTATGTACTGGGCAAGAAACCGGGTCACGATATAAAAAAATACTTCACTTTCAAAAGTATTATAGACTGGTGAAACTAGAACAACAGCACACTTGCACGTGGTCTGTGCTATTGGTTAATTGATATAAAAAAGATGCAAAAAGAAATGTTAAAGAAAGTAATGGAAAGTCTTATCTAACTAAGTTTTATTTGAATTTCGTTACTCCTTTGCACCTTTGTAGCCACTGCAACATCGAAATTATGCGATAATTAAAAACCCAGGTACGATAATTAAATGATAATTAAGCAACGGAATAATTACATATTAAACACGTAATTATTCCCAACTTATCGATGAATATTAAAGCAATTTTATAACATAGTAATATAATTTAGATTTCGCAACCCCTGGGTAAAGAAAAAAGCGATAAAGAGGAAATCTAATCTGTAAAGCGTGGCATGCAAGTGTTTGCACGGAAGATCACTTCTATTTATTGCAACAAGAGTCAACAGCTTTTGCGTCTTTGTTCAAAAACAGCGTTCTTCCGTGAAGCGCGATTGTCAACTTTACCTAGGAATTCAATTAACAGTCTGTATCCTTGTTTACCTGTATTGATAATCCTCCTTCTCTTTCTCTCTCGCTCTTTTTCTCCCTTCCTCTTTCACTTTCATTCTTCCTCCCTTTTTCTCTTCCTTCCTCTTTTTCACACAATTCTACTACAAAGTCTAAAATCAGTGTTCTGTCAAATGTTCCAGTCTAAACGTACACATGTCTGAAAAAAGTGAGCCAGCATTTTTCGAAGGTCTTGTTTTGATCTCGCGCGTTTCAATGCCAACTAACTCTGCTTTATTTTACGAATAGCAGAAGAAGAAGAAGAAGAAGAAGAAGAAAAAGGAGAGAGAAGCGAAAAAAAAGGGAGGAAGAAAACCTTTATTTTACGAATAGCAGAAGAAGAAGAAGAAGAAGAAGAAGAAGAAAAAGGAGAGAGAAGCGAAAAAAAAGGGAGGAAGAAACGAAAAGAACTAAAAATACAAGATCGTGAATGGCTTTTTGTTTCACGGACAGATTGCCTTTCAAAGGGGAAACTGCGTCCTATTGCCCTCTCAGTCTCTCTCTTTCTTTCGCATACGCCCGTTAAATTCACTAATTGGAAATCTCTTTTGTCGGAAATTCGTACCGTCTGGCCGATTTAAGTGCATGCAGCCAATTATTCTTAGAACTATTGAGTGGATACAATCTGTTTGATTCGAAGGGACTGTATGTTTCTCCTGTCTGAAAAAAAGAAGAACGAATATGATGCTCAACTTGTCGTTATATTTCGGAACAATTTAAAAGCATTTTACGAAATCCTGAAAATAAAATAACTTATAGTTCAGTCTTATGTAAATCCTTAGAACAGATGTATAAACACGGGCAATGAGTATGCTGAACAATGCTGTATCTGTGTAAAAAACGGAACATGGAAACGTGACTTGTAAACTATATGGTACCAAGGGAGACATTGTGCCGTTGGTAACTTATTGTCCTACTTTCGTGTGTAGCCCTTTAAATCGGTTAAATTCTGAAAAAGAAAAAAAATGTAATATTCAATGCAATTAATTGTGCTACATAGAGTTATTCGATTATCAATACCGTAACATTTATGTGAATTAATGTAACGACCATATTATGCTCAAAGCAAGCAAAGCTGTGTACACTCAATGGCTTTTTAAGCGAGCAACCAGCTTACACAATAGAACTACGTAATGAAATAACATAAACCAGAGTCAATTGTTAGACATTCAATATTGTTGACTAACAGCTTTCCGACGATTTAGGTCACGAATAGTAAACTCATAATTCAAAATAATCGAACGAATTAATTGAAGTCTCATCTTGGCAGCGTATTTAAAATGTTTGAAATGTGTTCAAAGTGGAGGACACATTGAACTACAAGCGAGGTATTTCCATTTGTCGAAGTGAAAATATATATTTTCTACACTTTCTTTCTCTTTTTCGCATTTCAAAATTGGTCGTGTACTTTATTCATTTAGATTTTAGTTTTCATAAAGAACGCGTAAGGATGAAAATTTAATAGAGGTGAAAATTCTACTTTAAATCAAAGGTTGTAAACCTCGAAGGATCTTACCTAATGCACAGTGTATATCGTAACCTTCTAATTGTTACAGAAGCACAATAAGAGCTTAAGCGCGCTAAATGAACACTTTGTTTTACTTCGCAAACCGAAGAAAATTAGTCTGTATCGGGAAAGAGACGAGGTACAACAAACAAAGAGCAAAGTTTCGTGAATAGAAAAACAGAAGATCCATACTCTCATGTTTGTCAGAGGAATTATTTTCAATGCAACTTCTCTTTCCATCGGTTTTCCACGTTAAAGTAAGTCTGGTGAAACATCGGCGAGAAAAGCGGAACGACTTCACTGCGTGTCTAAGGATCGAACAGAACGGTATCACGGTCATTAAAGTGGAAACGCTGGGTAGATTCTGTTCGATTTCGCCAAGGAAATTTTGCTTGCACGTGAAATTCTGAATTAGTTAGCATACGACAAGGGTACTTGATGTACTTTTGAATTGGTGAGTGGATCACAGTCGAGTTTCGTCCGCGTTCCTGGTTGGAAACCAACTAGGAATATCGTCGACTCTTATTTTCTAATGCACTGCGAGTCCGCTCTTGCATGTTACAAATAAAACAGATAAGGAGAGTGCAAGTCCTTTGGGGTACCGATTTAATTAAAATTTTGCAGGTTTGTAGATTTCGCCACGCAGTTCAAGAATATATATAATTATAGCAATAACTACTCAATAGTTTTTGAACTATTTATGATTAAAATTTTATTGTCCCTTAATTACAGATTATTTTCACGAACGTTCAAATAGTGTTGTGGCCTAAGGGAGACGTATGAAACTTCCTATGCTGGAGGTCCGAGGTTCGATTCCTGTCCATAGTTGATAGTATTTTTTCTATCTATTTTTTATTTTGTATTCATTTCTCGCCTATAAAAACATTGTAAATAAAGAATTATAAATAAAATTTCGTAATAAAAATATTGATTTTTTACGCTTTCCTATGTTAGTATATATTTATTACACAATAATAA